AGTGTCTCTACTTTAAAGAGTCCTCTCCTGCTGATGTTCAGGTGTATATCAGTATGTAGTGTCTCTACTTTAAAGAGTCCTCTCCTGCTGATGTTCAGGGTGTATATCAGTATGTAGTGTCTCTACTTTAAAGAGTCCTCTCCTGCTGATGTTCAGGTGTATATCAGTATGTAGTGTCTCTACTTTAAAGAGTCCTCTCCTGCTGATGTCCAGGTGTATATCAGTATGTAGTGTCTCTACTTTAAAGAGTCCTCTCCTGGTGATGTTCAGGTGTATATCAGTATGTAGTGTCTCTACTTTAAAGAGTCCTCTCCTGCTGATGTTCAGGTGTATATCAGTATGTAGTGTCTCTACTTTAAAGAGTCCTCTCCTGATGATGTTCAGGTGTATATCAGTATGTAGTGTCTCTACTTTAAAGAGTCCTCTCTTGCTGATGTTCAGGTGTATATCAGTATGTAGTGTCTCTACTTTAAAGAGTCCTCTCCTGCTGATGTTCAGGTGTATATCAGTATGTAGTGTCTCTACTTTAAAGAGTCCTCTCCTGCTGATGTTCAGGTGTATATCAGTATGTAGTGTCTCTACTTTAAAGAGTCCTCTCCTGCTGATGTTCAGGTGTATATCAGTATGTAGTGTCTCTACTTTAAAGAGTCCTCTCCTGCTGATGTTCAGGTGTATATCAGTATGTAGTGTCTCTACTTTAAAGAGTCCTCTCCTGCTGATGTTCAGGTGTATATCAGTATGTTGTGTCTCTACTTTAAAGAGTCCTCTCCTGCTGATGTTCAGGTGTATATCAGTATGTAGTGTCTCTACTTTAAAGAGTCCTCTCCTGATGATGTTCAGGTGTATATCAGCATGTAGTGTCTCTACTTTAAAGAGTCCTCTCCTGCTGATGTTCAGGTGTATATCAGTATGTTGTGTCTCTACTTTAAAGAGTCCTCTCCTGCTGATGTTCAGGTGTATATCAGTATGTAGTGTCTCTACTTTAAAGAGTCCTCTCCTGCTGATGTTCAGGTGTATATCAGTATGTAGTGTCTCTACTTTAAAGAGTCCTCTCCTGCTGATGTTCAGGTGTATATCAGTATGTTGTGTCTCTACTTTAAAGAGTCCTCTCCTGCTGATGTTCAGGTGTATATCAGTATGTAGTGTCTCTACTTTAAAGAGTCCTCTCCTGATGATGTTCAGGTGTATATCAGCATGTAATGTCTCTACTTTAAAGAGTCCTCTCCTGCTGATGTTCAGGTGTATATCAGTATGTTGTGTCTCTACTTTAAAGAGTCCTCTCCTGCTGATGTTCAGGTGTATATCAGTATGTAGTGTCTCTACTTTAAAGAGTCCTCTCCTGCTGATGTTCAGGTGTATATCAGTATGTAGTGTCTCTACTTTAAAGAGTCCTCTCCTGATGATGTTCAGGTGTATATCAGTATGTAGTGTCTCTACTTTAAAGAGTCCTCTCCTGCTGATGTTCAGGTGTATATCAGTATGTAGTGTCTCTACTTTAAAGAGTCCTCTCCTGCTGATGTTCAGGTGTATATCAGTATGTAGTGTCTCTACTTTAAAGAGTCCTCTCCTGCTGATGTTCAGGTGTATATCAGTATGTAGTGTCTCTACTTTAAAGAGTCCTCTCCTGCTGATGTTCAGGTGTATATCAGTATGTAGTGTCTCTTCTTTAAAGAGTCCTCTCCTGCTGATGTTCAGGTGTATATCAGTATGTAGTGTCTCTACTTTAAAGAGTCCTCTCCTGCTGATGTTCAGGTGTATATCAGTATGTAGTGTCTCTACTTTAAAGAGTCCTCTCCTGATGATGTTCAGGTGTATATCAGTATGTAGTGTCTCTACTTTAAAGAGTCCTCTCCTGCTGATGTTCAGGTGTATATCAGTATGTAGTGTCTCTACTTTAAAGAGTCCTCTCCTGCTGATGTTCAGGTGTATATCAGTATTTAGTGTCTCTACTTTAAAGAGTCCTCTCCTGCTGATGTTCAGGTGTATATCAGTATGTAGTGTCTCTACTTTAAAGAGTCCTCTCCTGCTGATGTTCAGGTGTATATCAGTATGTAGTGTCTCTTCTTTAAAGAGTCCTCTCCTGCTGATGTTCAGGTGTATATCAGTATGTAGTGTCTCTACTTTAAAGAGTCCTCTCCTGCTGATGTTCAGGTGTATATCAGTATTTAGTGTCTCTACTTTAAAGAGTCCTCTCCTGCTGATGTTCAGGTGTATATCAGTATGTAGTGTCTCTACTTTAAAGAGTCCTCTCCTGCTGATGTTCAGGTGTATATCAGTATGTAGTGTCTCTTCTTTAAAGAGTCCTCTCCTGCTGATGTTCAGGTGTATATCAGTATGTTGTGTCTCTACTTTAAAGAGTCCTCTCCTGCTGATGTTCAGGTGTATATCAGTATGTAGTGTCTCTACTTTAAAGAGTCCTCTCCTGATGATGTTCAGGTGTATATCAGCATGTAATGTCTCTACTTTAAAGAGTCCTCTCCTGCTGATGTTCAGGTGTATATCAGTATGTTGTGTCTCTACTTTAAAGAGTCCTCTCCTGCTGATGTTCAGGTGTATATCAGTATGTAGTGTCTCTACTTTAAAGAGTCCTCTCCTGCTGATGTTCAGGTGTATATCAGTATGTAGTGTCTCTACTTTAAAGAGTCCTCTCCTGATGATGTTCAGGTGTATATCAGTATGTAGTGTCTCTACTTTAAAGAGTCCTCTCCTGCTGATGTTCAGGTGTATATCAGTATGTAGTGTCTCTACTTTAAAGAGTCCTCTCCTGCTGATGTTCAGGTGTATATCAGTATGTAGTGTCTCTACTTTAAAGAGTCCTCTCCTGCTGATGTTCAGGTGTATATCAGTATGTAGTGTCTCTACTTTAAAGAGTCCTCTCCTGCTGATGTTCAGGTGTATATCAGTATGTAGTGTCTCTTCTTTAAAGAGTCCTCTCCTGCTGATGTTCAGGTGTATATCAGTATGTAGTGTCTCTACTTTAAAGAGTCCTCTCCTGCTGATGTTCAGGTGTATATCAGTATGTAGTGTCTCTACTTTAAAGAGTCCTCTCCTGATGATGTTCAGGTGTATATCAGTATGTAGTGTCTCTACTTTAAAGAGTCCTCTCCTGCTGATGTTCAGGTGTATATCAGTATGTAGTGTCTCTACTTTAAAGAGTCCTCTCCTGCTGATGTTCAGGTGTATATCAGTATTTAGTGTCTCTACTTTAAAGAGTCCTCTCCTGCTGATGTTCAGGTGTATATCAGTATGTAGTGTCTCTACTTTAAAGAGTCCTCTCCTGCTGATGTTCAGGTGTATATCAGTATGTAGTGTCTCTTCTTTAAAGAGTCCTCTCCTGCTGATGTTCAGGTGTATATCAGTATGTAGTGTCTCTACTTTAAAGAGTCCTCTCCTGCTGATGTTCAGGTGTATATCAGTATGTAGTGTCTCTACTTTAAAGAGTCCTCTCCTGCTGATGTTCAGGTGTATATCAGTATGTAGTGTCTCTACTTTAAAGAGTCCTCTCCTGCTGATGTTCAGGTGTATATCAGTATGTAGTGTCTCTACTTTAAAGAGTCCTCTCCTGCTGATGTTCAGGTGTATATCAGTATGTAGTGTCTCTACTTTAAAGAGTCCTCTCCTGCTGATGTTCAGGTGTATATCAGTATGTAGTGTCTCTACTTTAAAGAGTCCTCTCCTGCTGATGTTCAGGTGTATATCAGTATTTAGTGTCTCTACTTTAAAGAGTCCTCTCCTGCTGATGTTCAGGTGTATATCAGTATGTAGTGTCTCTACTTTAAAGAGTCCTCTCCTGCTGATGTTCAGGTGTATATCAGTATGTAGTGTCTCTTCTTTAAAGAGTCCTCTCCTGCTGATGTTCAGGTGTATATCAGTATGTAGTGTCTCTACTTTAAAGAGTCCTCTCCTGCTGATGTTCAGGTGTATATCAGTATGTAGTGTCTCTACTTTAAAGAGTCCTCTCCTGCTGATGTTCAGGTGTATATCAGTATGTAGTGTCTCTACTTTAAAGAGTCCTCTCCTGCTGATGTTCAGGTGTATATCAGTATGTAGTGTCTCTACTTTAAAGAGTCCTCTCCTGCTGATGTTCAGGTGTATATCAGTATGTAGTGTCTCTACTTTAAAGAGTCCTCTCCTGCTGATGTTCAGGTGTATATCAGTATGTAGTGTCTCTACTTTAAAGAGTCCTCTCCTGCTGATGTTCAGGTGTATATCAGTATGTAGTGTCTCTACTTAAAGAGTCCTCTCCTGCTGATGTTCAGGTGTATATCAGTGTGTAGTGTCTCTACTTTAAAGAGTCCTCTTCTGCTGATGTTCAGGTGTATATCAGTATGTAGTGTCTCTATATGTCTCCATGCTTTAATGTTCAAAAAGCTCTTCATTTTTCTCATACTGCCTGTGCTGCAGCACAGTGGTGTTTATGTTTCACTGCCGTTCCGCCCAGTGGTGAAACTAGGTCTTCATAGAGCAAGGTTTGGGTAATTAGGAGTTTGGGAGCTCAACATAGACATAAACGATACAATCCTTTATTCTTACTCCACCAACACATTCTCTCCTTTGTTTTGGTCGCTTGACAGAAGATGACCCTCTCTAAAGAGCCTGCTGTCCCTATTGCAGCTCTTTATTTTTCTCATACTGCCTGTACTGCAGCACCTCTTTTCACCCTCTGTCTGAAACCAGAGCCCAGTCTGCTCTGATTGGTCAGCTGGCCGGCTCTGTTATGATTGGTCAATTTCTTATGAAATAAGAACTGGACGCGATGCGAATATTGGCTTTGCTCTAATCGCTCTTATCGCATCGCCCTAAACGCTCTAGTTTCCCCGCGGCTGTCAGCTGTGTTTACTCGCATCATTCATTGAATGTGTGGGAAAGAAACTCCCTCTGGAGGGAACACAGGGGTTTTAGCCTCTGCAGACCATTTACATGCACAAATACCTGCAGGAGAGGGACAAAAACAAAAGTAGTTTTCACATATTTAATTATTTTCACTGTGTCTTTTGCAGGCACTAATTCCGAGGGCAAAGAAGTGTTCCTCAGGGATATCTGGCCCACACGGGAGGAGATCCAGGCTGTGGAGAGAGAGTTTGTGATCCCAACAATGTTCAAAGAAGTCTATGAGAAGATTGAGGTAGTGAGCCTGGAGTCTGATGGCCCAGCATTGTACATGTATGTGTGATTGACCTGATCATCTGATACGTGTTGTGTCGTAGAGTGTGAACGAGCGCTGGAACTCTCTGGTTGCTCCCTCCGACAAGCTGTATCCCTGGGACACCAACTCAACATACATCAAGTCTCCACCTTTCTTCCATGGTTTGGTAAATATACAAATTAAACATCCTCCTAAACTCATGCTACGACTAGAATTACTCAACTTGAAGACAACAAGTAAATGAATTCAAATGGTATTTTTCCAGTTTTTCTGTAAATGGCTATGGGAATGTTTGTATCGGCAGCAGTAGTGTAAAAGCTCTATTATTACCATACTATACTTTGACTTTCTCGAAATACTGTAGTATATTGTTTTTTCTGATATGTTTAACATACTACACTACATACGATGATATTTAGATTTACTCATTCACATTCACAATGTTGACATCTCACTGATACCACTGCTATTATGAACTACTACTGCTAGTAACTACACAATTATATAGACTAATATTAGCATTGTTTTTGGCCATGGCTGTACTGTTCGTGTCTCATGTTGTCTTTATTCAGACCATGAAGCTGCAGCCCCCCCAGTCCATCCATGAGGCCTACGTGCTGCTGAACCTGGGGGACTCGGTGACCACGGACCACATCTCTCCTGCAGGGAACATCGCCAGGAACAGCTCTGCAGCGCGCTACCTGACCAGCAGAGGGTGGGTCACCTCACCACTTTAGAAAAGAAGAGAAATCTCTTTTCTCTTTTGGTTCAATGTGTGAGTCATGTGAGCTTCAAAAATAGTTGGCCAATCATTCTTGAAACTATGAAAACAACCTAGGAGCAAAATCTGCAGCATCTGTCTGACTTTCACCTCATGTCATACGATCATTATTATCCACTGAACAGGAGTTTGTGTATGTTTCAAGGTGTTGTAGGATCCTTTATCTCTGAGATTACAGTTATTATGTTGTTTGTCGACTAAAGCAGAAAAAAACAACAAATAGAAGTCAAACTTTTACATCGAATTCTCCTCAAAACCACAGGAAAAAATACAAATGTAACTAAAATGAGAATGATGTATCCAAACTGTCAATGAAAGCTTTTCCTTTCACACTTTTCTTCACAGTTTGAGCGCCCGTGACTACAACTCGTACGGGTCCCGTCGAGGGAACGATGCCGTCATGGCCAGAGGGACGTTCGCCAACATCCGCCTCTTCAACAAGTTCCTTAATAAGCAGGCGCCGAAGACCATTCACCTGCCCACAGAGGAAACGGTTAGCAAGCCTCTCTTTAACTCTGTAACAACTATCAGGAAAATGCTTTTGTGTTAGCGAGTAACTTAACACCATCTAGGCTACTGAGACTGTTACATGGACTAACTCCTGCATGTTGTCCCTGTTGTCCAGATGGATGTGTTTGATGCTGCAGAGAGATACATTCAGTCCGGTGTGCCTCTGGTGATTCTGGCAGGGAAGGAGTACGGCTCCGGGAGCTCCAGAGACTGGGCCGCTAAGGGCCCCTTCCTGCAGGTGACGAGGATCACTTCTTTGTAACCATTTGAAGAAAATAATGAATGTGTTCTTTTAAGAGAAAGCAGTGAAAGAAGTGTTTTAAAGGTTTGATTATGAACCATTTATTTTTGTTGTAGGGTATTAAGGCGGTGGTGGCGGAGAGCTATGAGCGGATCCACCGCAGTAACCTGGTGGGGATGGGGGTGATTCCTCTGGAGTATCTGGCAGGAGACAGCGCTGAGAGCCTGGGTCTCACCGGCAGGGAGCGCTACACCATCCTCATCCCCGAGCCCCTCACTCCCAGGATGCTTGTGGACGTGAAGGTAAACACACTCTCTCTAGGACTGGAACATAACTGCAATGTTGAGGTAATACTGAATGTGGCCTGTCTCTGTCCCTCAGCTGGACACAGGGAAGACGTTCCAAGTGAGGATGAGGTTCGACACGGACGTGGAGCTGACCTACTTCCACCACGGAGGCATCCTCAACTACATGATCCGCAAGATGTCTGAAAACTAACATGCCAAGTACAGTGCAGCGCACAGCGAGAGCAACACGTGCTATTTTTCTAATTCCTAACTAGCGTCCAACACTGCATCACTGTTTTGAGTTCATCCAATGATTTACAGAAGAATTATGTCCAAAAATAATCCAGTCATTGGCCATGTTGGGGCAGAGAACTAATGTACAGCCAGAAAACAGTATCAGTTGAGGAAATGTATATTTTAGATGTGTATATTAACTAAAGATATGCTATAGAAGATGATTTAAAGAGTTATCTGAGAGGGTGTATGGTTGTGTCAAAAGATTATTCCAGATTATTCCAACATTAGTCTTGTTTTTGTACGTTTGGTCTTCATTTATGATAGCATGAAGTTGCTACTCACTAGAGCGAGGTAAAACTAATTATGGTCCTACATGCTTTGGTACGACAGCAGCATGTAGCGAGCAGTAAAGTCAGTACTCCAAATTGACAGTTGAAAGGTTATCCGTCAGCCAGGAGAGATTGATTATATCCCCATAGTACTGTGTTTACGTTTTTTGGTCTAGCTTCTTTTCGTTAGCCAATATTTTATTATGTGAACAAAGTTGAATTAACTGTGATAATGCCTGGGGGGTGCAGTGAGCAGTGGAGATGTATTTGTCTGTTACTGCAAAGAAAACCCAAACAGCCAATCACAGTGGCCTCAGCTTGTAGTAGCACAGCTTCCATCACATGTAGCCAGTGAGGTAGTGCTTCACCTTCACGCAGCAGCAGCTTAAATCCTTCAAGGGAAACAGTGCCAGCACTTTATCAAACTGCCATGTCTGGTAGGTCTGGTTGGTGTGCCGCTGTTAGCTCTCAGGGGTGAAAACGTGACATTCCAGCTGAGGTTCTACACTGTTCAGCAGTTGGCAGTATAATGTAAACAGGTTTCAAACTGTTCCTGAGAGTAAACAGAAACCTTAAACCCCATAACTCTTCTTCAGCTGTTCCATCTCCACCCACAGCCAGGCCCAGCTCTGAACAGATAACAGTCACTAAAGACCCATGTTTTAGTCATCCAGAATTCTCTTTTAAAAACCAGGACCATTATGAGATTCAATCATATATTTTCTTGACTGTAATGAAGAAGATGTTGTGATGCGTTCAAAGCTGCAGGAAAAGCCACTGCATGGAGGAAGTGGAAGTATGTTGATGATAATATCATATTATTGACTATGATTAATGAATGAAGTGTGACTTGAATGAGTTAAATATCGTCATGGTTACTCCTCCAGGTAAATACGCTGAAGTCTGAAGCTAACCATTATTCCTCTTTATTGATTAATGTGCAGATTATTTCCCTTAATTAAATGTTATAAAATGTCAAGAAATTGTGAAAAATTCAAACCTAAAGAAATGTAAATATGTTCTAAAAAGCAACCGATAACAGTACAGCACCTGAGACGCTGGAAACAGCAATTGCTGCCATTCTTGTGTGACACATTGTTTTTTGTTTCATTCTACCCTCTTGATGTTTCCGGATTATTCACAAATATGTTCATGGTTTCTCTTTCTGTCCGTCTCAGATAACTGTACAGAAATCATGCCTGTTTGTTCTTCAGACATTCCAAACGTCATTGTGAATCTGCCTTAATAACGTCATGCGATCGCCTTGATTTCATATGTTTGTGTCTTCTTACAACACTGATCATTTGATTAAGAAGACTGTCAAAACCGTGCTCCATGTTGATTCAACCTAAACTGATTGCATTAAGCCACAGATGACTGAAAAGCTGAATAAAATTAGATTTTTCATTTGTGGTTATTTTCAAGTCATTAATAAGCTTGTATTTAAATTGTGTTTATTTGTAGAAGGGACCAATATAATGTGTGGAGCCAGTCTGTGAAGCTGGTCCTCTGCAGTCGCTCGGCCCTGCTCTGAACTCCAAACACTATTACAAGACTATAAGGGTTTAAGTTTTCTTCCTTTTCTGTCTTTAATACACTGGAGGATATGAGCCTTAAATTGTCCCCAAAGCTCGCTCTGACATGTCATAAATATTCTGCAGCCTGTTGGTACTCTGCTGTCACTTAGGGTTATAGAGTTTATCGACAGCACAAATGTTCAAAGTGACACACATTAAAGAAACAAAGCTTTTTGGAAAAGTTACCTTCATACTTTTAAAGTGGAACACTTTATGTCTGGTCCAGCTGCTCATTTTACTAGCCATAATAATAATAACACATTTAATTGATATGGTGCTTTTCTAGATATTCAAAGTCGCTTTGCGAACAACAAACAAAGATGTACTGAGCGTGTTGACACCTACAGATTATAAGTGAGGGATTGGAAGATCCCTTGAATCCTGTTTTTGCTGCTTACATTTCCCATGAAGTTAAAAGAAATCTAATCTGAATGCTATTATAATGTTTCCAACACATCACAAGGAAATATTTCAATTCATCGCAGCATGGCTTTCATTCATTGCTAGAGCCATGACTCTCACACTAGTCCATTCACTTCAGTTATGTGTTCTGTTAATGGTCCTAATTACAAAACACTGTTTGAACTATAAATATTAATATTGTGAGAGTTTAACAAATGATACAATATCCGTATTCTTAACTACCTTCAACATATCTTTGGCAAATCCTTTCAGCTTAATCTTGGTTCCTATTGTCAACGTATAAACAAATACAGGCAAATCAAATGGGGCTGACTGTGGAAACACTACTTCCTGTTAGCAGCACCCAAATGATGTCATCAGCAGTAAAAAGCTAATGTTAAGGCTAAACAAACTGCACCAGTCACATGACTTCACTGCACCACCGTCAGCTGAGGAGCTGGAGGACATTTAATGTCCACACCTTTGGTGACATCTCTTGAGCTTGTGTTCACCACAGATCTATTTCAGGCATCTAACCAAAAGCCATTGCTTAAAGATGAGGAAACAGGAAGTGCAAAAACGCTGACTCATGTTACAACTTAATCCTCCAGCAGTGTCAGATGTTATCTGACACTTTCATCATGCTCCTCCGGCACTTCTCTTTCATTTGTAATCACTTGCCACTCAGACTGAATTACATGTACTCTTGTTGGATTACTAGAAGACACTGTGAGAGGACGGCCATTGATCAGGGTCTCCTCTCTGGTTCCTGTTCCAGCCGTTTGTCTCAAACAGAGGGGGATGGAAAAAAGCTGGTGGGGGAGGAGTGGATTTAGACATAAAAGCAGCTGCACGTGTTTCCCACACGCATGACCCAGCCGAGGCCCGTGCTGGACACACAGCATGAGCACATGCTCCAGGAGAAATGAACATAGCTGAGGTTGTGTTGCGCTCATTGAAGAAACACATTTGAATGATTCAAACCTTTGTAAACCTTTCAGTTCACTTAACCCTTTAAGTGCTGAGAGCCGAGCGCTTAGAAGATAAAACAAAAATATCCTGTGTAGTCTATTTTTAGTCAGGATGCGGTTAGCCTAGCTTAGCATAAAGCCTAGAAATGGGAATCGTGTTTTTTTTTGTCAATCCCACAAATAGTCTGATTAGTACTCAGATTATTTACTTAAGTAAAAGTACAAATATTAAAGTGTGAAAATACTCATTAACAAGTAAAAGTGTTTCAAAGTTCTACTTAAGTAAAAGTATTAGCATCAAAATATACTTTAAGCATCAAAAAAGTAAAAGTCCTCGTCCTTGCACAATGGGACATTAAAGAGCCAGATATTTTTATTTTATAAATGATTGTATTTAAATGATTGGTTCATTATGTGTTCATCATCTTAAATGTTGTACTTGGTAGGAGGGTTTTATTTGACCTGACTTCAAAATATTTGAAATTATTCACTTTTTACATGTGACTCATTACTCATTAATTTGGAGTTTTTTTCTTTTGATTGATTACTTTAAAAAAATATTTAATAACACAATACATTACATATATAAATACTTCCATTTACAAATCAACATTTTGATACAAATGACCTATGAAAGGTCAAAGGATCGTGTAGAGCCATATGAAGTGTCATATAAACAGCAAATGAATACATTGGCACAATGATTGCAACTTTTTCGCATCATTTATTCAATAAAATCATCCAAATTAGAGCTATTTGATACATCAATTTCCATACTGGAGGAGGGTTTGTCAGCATTAGCAGATTCTATACATATCCTCCCTCCCTACTTGATCATTGAAATGTGTAGATATTGTGTTAGTAGTTCCTCAGTCCCCCTGAGTACATGACAGGGTGAGAGACAGCAGTACAACAGATTCAGGTCTGATGACGGACGATGGTTCTTCAACACATGCTCTATTGAGGTAGAAACATCGGACGCATCATAATCTGATGATTCTCTGACTACTCTTTGAAAGAGTCTAAACCTGAAATGTAATGAATAATACAGTGGTCCACCCTTAAAGGAACATCTTGCTAGATTTAAAGTGCTATATTATCACATGTAGTCATTCCAGTGCCGTACATAATAAACATAATCATTTCTAAACATTGTTCACGGGAACACAGCAGTATATATGAGAACAACTTACAGTGTTAATCATATTTCTGAAATTAGACAGTGATCAACATGAGTTATCAACATGTAACCGTAACATGCAAGTCTACTTTAGATGGAATTCCCTCCCTAATCACAGAGGACAGAACAGCATGAAAACACACAGACACAACACATCTTCATCCCACTAATGCTCATGTAACATTTTCAGTGCAAAATAAACTCTGAACAAAGAAATGACCTTTTGGTAATTCTGCATTCAAGTCCAATTTCCTCTTCATTCATCGTCAGGCTCAGGTAAACACAGAGCTTTTTCATGGACTCTCAACCATGTATTTTGTTAAAGACAAAACACATTTACGGAATGCAATCGAACATGCCACAAAGTGACCCAGCAGAAATGAAAACGCCCAAAAAGATGAGCCAGAAAACACACTTTAGCCTGTCAGACCAAATCCAACGGCCATCATTGACGAAGGTTCGGACATTTTTCTTTTTGGCTGAGACATTAGAAACTGCAAGGCTGTACTTTTGATCTGTTACTGACCAATAATTCACCTTCTCCCGAACCCTGTGCCTCTACTTGAAACACATGGACATAGACAATTAGCACAGTCAAAGATATTTGCAACAAATATTTGAAACAACCAAACCCAGCAGGACTCTATAAAGACAGAAGCAGTCTAGCAGGCAGGAGATCATCCTACAGCAGACGGCGCACATGCTTCATGCAGCTGAAGCTGATAAAGAGAGAGATGTGTCCCATAATGCAGAACACATGAAGCATTCATTCTGTTCAGGTGATAAATACTCCATCATCTCTAAAAACCCAGATAGCCCTAAAAACATTTAATGTTGTTCTGAAGACATTGTTCAATTGTTCAATGACTGTTTTATCAATCAGGATAATTAATATAGCAACCAAACTAAAAATGTATATATTTTTGTATGAAACAATAAAAACACAACATTGATTTAACCTAGGGCTGCTCGATTATGGCAAAAATGATAATCTCGATTATTTGGGTCAATAATTGATATCACGATTATTAAAAACGATTATCCATTTACTTTGAAAACATCCATTTATTAAAAAAAATAAATAATTGAACAGCATGTTTTTAACAGTTGATTACCCTGAACTTTAAGTATAATTCAACTGAAAAACCAATAAAATAAAATAAATAATCGTTTTATTTCGATTATGTTGTTTTCATAATCGTTGCGAGCCAAAATCGTAATTGTGATTAAAATACGATGAATTGAGCAGCCCTAACCTGTGAATTAACTTTCAATTTTGGTTATCGAATTGAGCAAGGACATTTTTACTTTTTAATTGGGTGCATAGAAGAGTCACTAAAATATATTCAGAACATACAAAAAAAAGACCCTCTGGTTTTTTTAAAGATTGCCTGGTGTATACAATATTTGTAGGAAAACAGCTCTTTGACTCGAAGGTTTTAGTAATAAATGAAATGTGCAAATTGTTATTTACCTGATCTAACTGTCGAGTGCAGATCTAACCAGGAAGTTCCTGATGCAGGACTGTCACTGTTCCAGTATGGCTTTTGCTCAGAAAGGCTGCGGTCATCAGACAACATAAAAAGAAATCTCTGCTTACGTTGTCCAAAAATATCTCAAAGCAGGCGTTTGAAATGGAGCTACTGCTTAGAAATCTTTTTGAATGTTAGACATGTGAATGTTCAGATTGAGTACCAGGTCGAGAACGCTTTTATACTGACAATTCAGATTGACATGGCATTTAATCTGAACAAGAGCACACGTTTGAACATCATCTATGGGGAACTAGTCATCGCATTATATATACACTACACATTTTGAATAAACAAAACACATCAGCAGGACATCATTTCCTGCTTCAGTAATGATACACGTTCTTTAAAGTTAAAAGCTAGCATGGCTTCTTAATGACAAAGCGGGTTTGAAAGTGCTTTACTGTAAGACTGATATAAGCTCTCAGTTATTTCTGTTGCGTCATCAAGGCCACCGCGCTTCCTGCTGCAAGGGTCACTTGAAAGGAGAGGAAATGAGAGTGCGTGCGAGCGTTCATGGAAGGAAGAGGAAGAGAAGGTGTGGTCACCAGAAGCCAATTGAGCCTAATACAATGTATAACAGCGGGTTCAACTGCAACCATAGTGCAGGTCTTCTTGAAATATGACGTTCAAGGTTAGGGGAAGTGGAACAGGAAGGACTACTAGACTGCACATAAGCAACTTCTGTAAATGACATTTAAACCACATTACCAAGTGTTATGTGGAAAATGTTCTGCTGGGTACCAACACCTTTCCTGTGTCCTCAAGTGTACAGTGCACTCCCTAGAGGTAGTCATTATCGCCACTGCTCACGCATCCTGTTGGAACATGCAGGAGCAGCTCAGGGGAAAGAACTGGCAACGTCCATCAATATCCACTCAACCAGACAGCCACCATGTGGTGAGCTCAGAATATAATCCTCTCATCTCTCGTTGTCCCTGATTTCTGCCTATTACAGCCTGAAAATCACTCTTAAAGGGGTTGGAACATATGAGGGATTTAAATTCAGGACAGGAAATGCTCAGTGGCATTTGAGATGTTCCCTGGGGTGTTCCTTTGCTAGCTTGTCTCTCTCGGGTCCGAAAATGCAGTTGGCATGCCAGGAGAACCACACGATGACGGAGATGATGGTGGTCTGGAGGAGGAGCATCACCCCATAGGTTGAAGTAATGGTAGGTCCAGGTAGGGGGGCGAGGGTGGCGGGGGGCAGCAGCAGAGTCGGGCTGAGCAGGATGGCCTTCACCTCGGCCTTGATCAGGTGGAGCTCGTCCAGGATGGACAGAAAGGTGCAGCAGTGGAACCACTGGTGGCTGTGGCCCCAGATGTCGAAGCGCCCCGGGGCCAGCCGCTCGGGGATCTTACTGATGTTGAACACGGCTGAGACCAGCAGCCAGAAGCAGTGGCGACAGAAGAAGCCGGCTGTAGAGGTGGAAGCCGCAAAGGACGAGGAGGTGGTGGAGTAAGGTGATCTGGTGAGGAGGCGGTAGAAAATGGGCGTGGAAGAGACGAGGAACGGCAGGAGGAAAACGAAGGTTCGGATGAGGTATCGATGCCGCCTCCACCTCTGTCGAGTATTGCAGCAAGACAAGACGCAAATGATCGCGACAAGACATGCGGAAGGGATGTAGAAGTTCTCAAAAAACACACAGAAGTCTGGGATTGCATAGGATAGAGAGCCTGCAGGTTCCTCTTTCAAGTCCGTTTGGGAGCCATTGTTGCCTCCTGTCTCCACTATACCTGCTCGAGGGTGGATGTAGTAGTAGTACGCCAAAGATGAGCCAACTGTGTAGGAACTGATGGTGCCGTAATCCACAAAGAAGCAGACTTCCCTCACCACCAGAGACATTGAGTTGAGCAGGTGGGCCATGCTGCTAGCCATTAACAGACAGAAGACCCCAATAAAGTAGTTCCACAGTGGATAGAAGAACGGGGAGTCGGCGTGTGGCGCACCTTCCCAACCAAATACCTCCACGAAATAATATGCAAAGATAAAAACTGGCAGGAAGTGTGTCCAGAAGTTTCCTGTCTCATTGGTAGGCCTGAATGCTGACAGTAAGCAATCCTTCACGCTGTAGTTTGGGAAGCGATAGCCGGTCAAGATGAAGTTTTCTTTGACCCGAGATGGCACATCCGTGTGCCTCAGAAGAGGCATTGACTGGCCACAGTTTAGAAGCATACTGGCAACAGTTAATGTCTGACAGCAGAAAGTGTTTAATTGAAGGTTTTATTGCTTGACTGTCGGCTGATTACAGCAGTTAATGATCACAATAGAATCTCTTGCTTACATGTGGATAAGGCATCTGCCGGCTGCTCTGCTTTGAAAGACATTTCAGCCCTGCTCTTCTGTCGACCTTTGACCCCAGCTCCACTGTGGGCCCCATGAGCTGTAGGCTTATCCAAATAGAAGATATGGTGTATATTCTAGCGGTATCCCGTGAGAAAACGGCAGGGCAGGGTTCAGCAAAGAGAATTCTCAGGCCAACTGCTTTGATATGTTTTGCTTCCTCTTGACCCTAGAGCCCTACAAAAACGTCAGCATGCAATGATATTCATGCTGTGTATATCATGTTCCCTTCTTAGCACAAGGCATGGTTTGCATCTCCGTCTCCATCTCACATCCACATTCACATGTCTTGCTTTGGACAGATCTGCAGCAGCAAATAAAAATGAAGGTCACTTATTACTGTGTTACAAGGTTACACAGGACGTCAGTCAGTAAGATGCTTCCACGCAGCAGAGTGGTCCTGAAGGAGCGTCCATTCAGCTTTGCGGTATGTAGGTCAGACTGGCATTCAACCCCCAAATACAGGCTTCTCTTCTCCTGTTGTTCCGTCCTTCAGCCTGGATCCACGTTCGACTTTCATTTCATCCAGCTCCGGTCCGTTGCAATGAAGTCCGCTGCGGAGGGGAATAAATCCCCCGGGGTTAAAAACAAACGCTCTGTGTGACCTCGGTCCTTTACCGTGAGGTCCCGTTTAAATATTTCCCGGGTCACGGGTGATAGCTGGGACAACGACTGCCGTGAGTCCCTGTGAGGCTGAAGCCGACCGGCGTTTCGGCAACGCACCGGGGAGAACCGGAGACTGTTTGACAGGTACTCGCATCAAGTTACATAAGCGTTAATACCGGGGTTCCGCTTGTGAGTTTCAAAATAAAACTAAGAGGTAGTTATCACTTCTAAAGGTCATAATGGTTGTTTCCAGTTACATCTAAACCAGGGGTGGGCAACCTTCTATGGAATGCCATTTAAGCCAAAATTAAATAAATAAATTCATAAATAATTAAATATAAATATAAATATGCCTATGAAATAAATAAATGAGGTAATAAATAAATGAGGCAATAAATATGTATACATGTAGATTTAAATACACATTTATTTATTTCATGGGACTTTTATTTCATAATGACACATTTATTTATTTCAAGAGACTTTTATTTCATAATGACACGTTTATTTATTTCAGGGGACTTTTATTTCATAATGACATATTTATTTATTTCAGGGGACTTCACGGGCCGTATATGCAGGTCCGGCCTTAGACATTTTGGTACCCTAGGCGAGATTATGATTTGGTGTCCCCCCCCCCCCCCCCCCCCCCCCCCTTCCAAGCAATACACAATAGAATATATAAAGAATAAATGAAAAATATCTACAAAAGACCAATACACTACAACAACTTAAACGTATTGACATGTTGGTTATATACATAAACAAGGTTTCAAATGTATTAATTATTGTATGAACATGTTTTAATTGGGGGGTGGACGTCAAATCCTCTAGGGGGGTCCGGGGGTATTTAACATTTTAAAGTAAAATGCTTCAATCTGGTGCACTTTGAGCAGAATTACTAGAGACTAGATCTAGGGGGTACAACTCTAAAACACCCATATGAAAAAGATCGGTTTATATTTTAATAATCAAATAAGTATCTAACAAATAACAAATAAATGTAACGTATTTTATTTTTGTTGTTCATTTATATCTTATTTTACCTAGTTAACATTTATTTATTCATGCATATTTTTAATATCTCCAGTTTTAAAAGATAATATGTTGGTTTACTGTCCTATAGTATACATTGGAATGATTTCAAACCTGTTGTTATTTATCCTAATAATTATGTGCCTAGGAAATATTTGTTTACATAAGTTGTGACCAAACCGTTTGAGACCCACTGAGAAACTTAGACTAGAATGAACTATCTAAACACTCAAGAGTCCTTTACCTCACTGAGCTGTAGTTATCAGCCTCAATCCAACAACAATACGCGGTACCGATTTGCGCCCTCTCTCTCTCTCTCTCTCTCTTGCTCGCTCGGAGGCTCGCTCGCACTTTGGCTGTGAGCTGCGTGCGCCTGATAAGTCCCGAAAAGGTCAGAACAGAACACAACAAGCCTAACGTGTCATCACGTGGTATATGTCTCGTCTGACATGAGTGTAGTGCTGACGGAGAGCACCGGAATGCCACTCCGGCACTTGAAAAATTGCAGTACGCATAAGGAGTTGCACACATGGGACGCGGGAAGTCAGTCAGAGTTGGGGGTGCGACGACTGAACAGGACCAGGTAAGAGTGCAGAGGGGGGTGTGCTAGTGGAGCCTCGCAGCGGCGAAACTGTGTCACGCTACACTGTGGCACGCTACACTGTGGCACGCTACACCGTAGATGCGCCGCGTTTGCGGAGGCTCCCTCCGCAAAATGAGGCCCCACCCGCGAGGGGTCTGCGTGTAGGGAGGTATAATAACGTCATATTAAATGCAGTCATTTGGTCTTTAGCAACAGCTTGTGAGAGTAGTGCATTCATCGGTGTTCATTTGAATGCTGCCAGTTTGTTGACGGCCTGTGTGTTGATGGGACTTCTTATGCTCCCTAAATGTTTCCCCTGCCTTTCGCCATTAAACCCTGCTTTCACAAAACTCCCATCCCTGATCTTGTCTGCACCGTCAAGCTTCTTTTCTATAGCAGAGCAACAGAAGAAGCACACCGCATTATCACTTTCTCTTATATAGTGAAGCTTTTTATTAACTGCTTACACTAAATGCTAACTAAAAAATAGTAACTAAAAATAAAACTTTTGTATTGATTTGTTTAGTGAACTTTTTGGCGTTGCAGTTACAACAGATGGGGGTGCTGCAGCCCCCTCAGCACTCCCCCTTCCCACGTCCCTGTACACATTCCGCAGTTTTTGCGTGGCTGTGTCTTTAGTTGTAAACTCAGTGGCGATCTGTTCATCTGTTATACTGATCATATAATAACGCCATCGAAAATAATAGGATGCATTACATTACAAGTACTTCTGGGTCTTTGTGTGTCATTCAAGTTTAAAAGTGGAGTGATTAGTAAAATATCCATAAAGAAAAAGAAAATCTGCTTACAGTTCTGATTCATATGGATGTTGAGAGATGCATCCATAGATCTCTTAATGTTGCTCTCAAACTGCACCAGATTGATGCTTTTAACTTCAACATAAATAAATAAAAATCTCCCCGGGGTCATGGTGAGATATCTGGATTAAGAGGTTGCTTTTTCTTGGCACAGCATGAAAGAAAGGCGAAATGAATGGGCTTTGATTTTAGTTTTTTTAAGCAGAGGTTGAGTTCAATCATTTGTACGGCCCTCGGAGGATGTTGTACAAATTGAAATGGCCCTTGAGAGGAAAAATGTCCCCTACCCCTGATACAAACGGACCTGATTCATAAATGTTACTTTCACTAGACCTTTGATAATTCAAATATTTTACAGGCAAGCGCATTTAATTCCCATTAGTATTGCCAAAGTAGAATGAATATAATAGCAAAGGAGCGGACCCCCCCCCCCCCCCCCCCCTTACATCTTATTTTTGGATGTTTTATTGTTTGTTTAGTCGGGGCAGTAAAGCAATTAATCTGAATTAAAACAGAGAGAAAACCTGAGCCTTATTTTGAAGGCAGATTCACTCCATTTCCGGTCCCATTCTGAATAACTGCGTGCTTGCCCTTGAGGCAGTCTAACGGGGAGAGCCGAACTGTTTTAAAGCTTTGAGTTTCTCTTTTTCAGTCTGTTTGCTGTTCAGTCCTCCATACAAATATCCTGTAGACGAACATTAGAGACAGACTGAACTGAGCCGAGCCGTGCTGGCTCTCCTGGGCTCGGTTTGAAATGCACAGTCCGTCCTGTAGAGAGTAATCCTTTTTCTGAGTATCTGAACCACAAAGAGCCTTCAGCTGCCCTCCCCTCCTCTGTTTGTGTTGTGAGGCTTCCAATGGACACACAGAGCCTCCTCATGCTAAAGCAAAGGTCCTGTGTCACATCACATATCTCCTTCATCAGTGTTCTCAATCCCTTTACATGTTAGCACCTTCGTTCGAGTTCAGTCTCTGGTCCATTTGTATTTCAGTTTAGCTTATGCCCTCTATGAAAATGGGTTAATGTGGAGAGGTGGAAGAAGTACTCAGATCCTTTACTTAAGTAGAATTAGAAAACTATGGTCCTAAAATACTACATCACAAGTAAACAAAGATCCTGTATTCAAAATGTTACTATAAGTAGCCTACAGAATATTTATCAGCTAAATGTAAAATAAGAAGTACCCAGTATGCAAATGGTTCTGTCACCAAATTGGATTATCATAGATTATTATATATATATTTGTACATTTAAGTGTATTTTAAACGTGTAGTTTGTCAGTTTTAGAGGTTTGTGATATACTGGGTTTAATAGTAATGTACTGCATCATATCAAATTAGTACATCATGTGTTTGTATATAGAAATGTAACTAGTAAGTGTTAAGAGTGTTCAAAAAGTACAATATTGCCTCCTAAATGTAATGGAGTAGAAGTGTAAAGTAGTATACAATGGATATACCTAAGTTAAAGGGGACATCATGCAAAATGCACTTTTGTACGTCTTTTATACATGAATATGTGTCCCCGGTGTGTCAGGGAACTCACCAAGTGTCAGAAAACACAACCCTCTCTCTTTTCCTCCATACCCAAATCTCTAAAAACGGGGCTGCAACGGATCTGATACAGATTTGAAAATTCTCTGACGTCAGGAACGAGGAGCTCCGCCTATATGGCCAACTCTCCACCTATCAGGGGAATGTGGGGTTGGGCCATGGCCGGCCATTGCCGCTCGAAAGCGCTGTAGTACATATGCCAGGCCTGTAAGTGGCGCTGTAGTCTGCCACAAAAGCAGCGAAGAAGACTTCCCGCGCATGGTTGCCCTTCTGTTTATTCTCCGCAGTGGCTCTTTTTCTCCCTCCCCGAGGCAAGTGTTTGCTCCCGCTGCTGTAATTCAATGCAATCCCTCCCCGTCGAGGCAAGCACTGTAATTCTCTCCGGTAGTCCACCAGCAGATGACAAACACCCACCTCTCCGCCTCTTCCAAGGAACGAGGGAACCGTGCGGCAGAATTTCAGTTAGATTGTTTTCCGCCAGTCAACATGTCCGTTAAAGTTTAAATCGTCCGGACAAAATTAGAAAAAGTGCCGGTCAAAGGTCTTCTTTGTTATTTATTGATCTTTAAAACAAATTAATAATGACTCTATATAATCATATAAGAATAAAACACGGAGGACGGAGATCTCTTTTTCTCCCCCTCTTCTGAGAGCCCAGCAGCTGATCAGAGCACGCTCCCCTCTCCTGCAGGGGGGCGTGGTTAGCTGCAGCTCACAGAATCAGCCCTTGCAAAAACAGGGCTGGAAAGAGCAAATAGAGCGAAATGAGGCATGGCTAAAATGCAGGATCTGTTTGGTATTTTGAAAAAAAAAACGATATTTATATACTTTATATAGGTATGGCCCTATTCAAATATAGCATGAAATGTCCCCTTTAAGTAAAATACTTGAGTAAATAGTTACATTCCACCTCTTAAGAATGTGTTTCTTTCCCACAACATTTGCTTATGATCTGATGGCTTCTGTAACTGCAATTTCCCATTTCATATCTATATCTATAGCAAGATGCTCATTCCATTAAAGAAATACAAATTAGTCGATATTAAAAAGGGTATTTCATTTAAAGTCAATTATATTCAAATACATGTATGTGGCCCTTTACAAGCATGGGTTTACCCTTCTTTATATCTATCCTAAAGTCTTATCAGTTTATACAGCAGGC